AGATTTTGCAAAGAAAACTAACCAGTTCCGCTGTAGAGCCTGGGGGACGCGTGAGTGATCTTCCCCAGGTATCAGCAGTGTGGGTGGATCAGCCCTAGCTAACTGTTGTTCTGTTTCGGGACTGCATTGTTGCAGTTTGGGAGAGAGCGTTTGGGCTTCCTGTAGGCCACGGGAGGGCAGGGTCCTTCCTCTGACAAGCTCCAAGATGGCATGAGCTAGGAAAGCTGTGAGCAGAAAAGGGAGGATGTGCCACGGGCCGGGAGAGGCCTTTTGCTGAGCTGGAGAGCATGCCTCGTAGAATTAGATCTCCTTACCAGCTGGTTCCCCACGCACACCTATGGGTGTGAAGAAGATCTGAGGTCTGCCAATATAGGACTGAGCACTGATCCAGGAGGAGCCCCCAAGCATCACCAAATAGGGCCCCCAATTAAAAACAAACAGGGCTGGTACTTGCCTGGCAGGTGGTCAACCTGGGTTCAGTTTTTAGGACTCCATATGGGTCTCTGAGCACAGAGAGATGATCCTTGAGTCAGGGGTCAGCACCAAGCATTGCCCCCCCAAAAAACAATTTGCCTATCACTCATCTCCATAGCACCTGAGAATATGACTGAGAATGTCAGCTCCAATCTATTTCTTCTTTTCTTTTTTTTTTCTTTTGGCTTTTTGGGTCATACCCGGCAATGGATGCTCAGGGATTACTCCTGGCGGTGCTCAGGGGATCATATAGGATGCTGGGAATTGAACCCAGGTTGGCCACGTGCAATGCAAACGCCCTATCCGCTGTGCTATTGCACCATCCCCAGCTCCATTCTATTTCTAAATTGACCTTGGATATCAGAGCAAGGCACAGATGGACTAGAAGACCCATGAGAACCACACCTCTCAGAATCTTTCCACCCCAGACAGATGCTAAGCACCCTAGGAAGCGGAGCTCATGGCTGGGGATGTTGCTCAGTGGATGGGCTCTTGCCTTGACCATGCAAAGACCTGGCTTCCAGCCCTGGCACAGGGAATAAAGAATCCTGCCGGGTTGAATGCCTTTTGTTTATTTATTTTTGGTTAGATCCCTTGGCACAGTGACATGAGCACCTTCCTCCTGAACTGTCTCTTTGGCCCAGGGCTGTAGATCTTGTCATGTGTTTTGAGAACGTTACAGTGAAGGTCGGCTTGTACTGCTGCTCCAGGCTGTTCCACAGGCCTGTGTTTCATGGGGTCTGGGACCCATGTGATAAAATATTTCTCCTTGCGGGAGAAATTGAAGAAAAACTCACATGTAATTTTGTCTACCTAGTAAAACAAGAGAAGAAGACAGTGGTATAAATATAAAATCAAACTGCATTGTTCTCTGGCCTTGAAAGCAATGCCAGGTCATAGAACTGGGAGCCCATGTGATCTTTTGGATGGGGCCATTTTTTTAGAAAAGATCTCTGGTTTATTATATCCAAAATGTGAGTCACCAAAAAAAAAAAAGTCAGCCAAAGCCATTGATCTCACCTAGACATATGCCTCACCTTACAAATAAGTCAACTGAGACTCAGAGTTGAAAGGACTCTGGGGAGGGAAGGGCACTCCTGGTGTGGCTCAGAGTACCGTTTGCAGTTTCTGGGATTGAACCTGGGTCAGCTGCATGCAACAAAAGTAGCAAGAATCTGGATCTTCTGATTTTTCATTCTAGATCTTCTCATAGTTTCTGCAGGTGAACAGATCAAAGAGAAACTTGTTCCCAGTGTGCCCTGATAAACTCGGAACCACTCAGGTTTGAGGTAACACTCCACCTGTCCAGCAAAGCACTATTATGCTCAGGTACATGTGATGAAAGCCATCTATGAAAATGGCCTGGATATTTTCTTCCATCCCTATCCCTTCTCCAGATACTCAATGATTAATACTGAGAAGTTTTTTTTTAATTTTTATTAGTGAAACACCATGAGGTACAGTTGTAGACTTACAAATTTTTGTGCTTGGGTTTCAGTTATACAATGATCCAGTACTCATCCCTCCACCAGTGCCCATTCTCCATCATTTACATTTAAAAAAAATTTTTGTTAGTGAAACACCATGAGGTACAGTTGTAGATTTACAAATTTTTGTGCTTGGGTTTCAATTGTACAATGATCAAACACCCATCCCTCCACTAGTGCCCATTTTCCACCACCACGGGTCCCAGTATCCCTCCCACCCCCCATCTCCCCGTCCCACCCTGCCTCTGTGGCAGGGTATTCCCTTTTGTTCTCTCTCCTTTTGGGTGAATACTGAGAAGTTTTAAGCCACGAAGCATGCCCAGTTTCACTTTCTCCTGTTTCATTGTACTGGACAAAGCCATTTTCCCTGCTAATTAACTGTGAGAAGTAAAGGTAAATCCAATTTTGTTGTGTCACGTTAATATGAAGAGAAATGTAAGACAGCAGAAGCAGCAAAGGCCCCGTAGAAGCCCAGTGGCAAAGTCTGTCTTGTTACATCCTCATCTCTCCTGAGATTCCAGTGAAGAAAGGGAACAGGCAGAAAGAAATAAAGCCCAGGGAAAAGAGAGTTGGACTTAGGGCATATTTTATTGGAGTAGTTATTACCTAAAATTAAATCACAGGCCTCAGAGCAAGCTCAACAGGTTTGAGTGTCAGCTCTGCATGCCGGAGGCCTGGGAGTGGCCCCTGACACTGTGTGTGTGTGTGGGGGGGGGTCACCAGATAACCACTCAGAGTAGCCTCTGAACATCAAGACTACTGTGGACCCAACCCCCGCCCCCCACCAAAAAAAAACCAAAACGTGTTCTTGGTCTGCAAAGGGGTAAGGCACTTGTCTTGCAAGTAGCTGACCTGGGTTAGGTCCCCAGCACCCCTCCCTGCACTGATACATAGTTCCCTGAGGCAGAGCAAGGAGTCAGCCCAATGCATCCATGGGTGTGAATCCCCAACAGTAGCACTGTAGCACTGTCCTCCCATTGTTCATCGATTTGCTCCAGCGGGCACTAGTAATGTCTCCATTGTGAGACTTGTTACTGTTTTTGGCATATTGAATACTCCACAGGGAGCTTGCCAGGCTTTGCCAAGATACTATGTGGGATACTCTCAGTAGCTTGCCAGGAACTCCAAGAGGGATGGAAGAATCGAACCCGGGTCGGCCATGTGCAAGGCAAATGCCCTACCTGCTGTGCTATTGCTCCAGCCCAACCAAAACCATTAAAAATAAAACACAATACCTGCTAAGAGACCAGACTCCCCCAGGAAGTTTTGTAGAAGGGAATGTAGGGCTAGAGAGATAGGACAGCGGGATGAGCCAGGTTTGAACCCCGGTAGGGAATAGGGTTCTCCTCCATGGCCCAAATACAAAAGACATTTTTTAAAAAATGGAATCACCTTGGGGTACACAGTTACAAAGTTAGTCATGATTGGGTTTCAGTCATACAATGTTGCAACACCCTTCCCTTCACTAGTGTATATTTCCTACCACCAATGTCCTCAGTTTTCCTCCTGCCACCCACCTGCAAGTAGCTGACCTGGGTTAGGTCCCCAGCCACTTTGGCAGCCACTTTTCTTCTCTCTCTCTTTCATTCTCTTTCTCACTCTCTTCCTTTTAGGTGCTGTGGTTTACAATACTGATACAGGAAAGTTATCATATATATCACTTTCCCTCCTTTCAGCAGTTGGTTCTTGTCCAGAGTGATCATTTTCAATTATCATTGACACAAGCACTGTAGCATTGTCGTCCTGTTGTTCATTGATTTGCTTGAGCGGGCACCAGTAACGTCTCCATCGTGAGACTTGTTGTTACTGTTTTTGGTATATCGAATACACCATGGGGAACTTGCCAGGCTCTGCTGTGCGGGTGGGATGCTCTCAGTAGCTTGCCGGGCTATCCAAGAGGGGCGGAGGAATCCAACCCAGGTTGGCCGAGTGCAAGGCAAACGCACTACCCACTGTGCTATCGCTCCAGTCCCCTGCTCTGCTATCGCTCCACTTGGGGCTGGAGCAATAGTACAGCGGGTAGGGCGTTTGCCTTGCACGCAACTGACCCAGGTTTGATTCCCAGCACCCCATATGATCCCCTGAGCACCGCCAGGAGTAATTCCTGAGTCCATGAGCCAGGTGCGACCCCAAAAGCATTGATATGACATACTAAAAAATAAATCACAACCCACATTATCATTTTTTGGGCTTATTTCTGGACCACGCCCGGCAATGCTCAGGAGCTACTCGAGGGGTGGGGAAAACTACTATGCTGGGAACCGACCCCTGGGCCTCCCGCTGACAGCTCAGTGCCCTGATGTCCTTTTGGGTCCTCTCTGCAGGATTCCCAGCCTGGATGCCCCCGCATGCAGTGTGTGTGCTCAGTCCATGCCTCCAGGGAGTCCACAGGAAAATAGGACTTTCAATCTCCAAGTACCAGAGGCCAAGAAAGGCCAAAAGGAGCAGGAGTCATATTCAAAGTGAGCAATAGAAAATAAATTATCAAGCACCTGCCCCTGACAGGCAGGCTTAAATGGTGGTGGGAAAATTCAAGCAAACTATAATGCCCCTAAGTAGAGAGAGATTTGGGGAAATTGTCAGCCAGAAAGGCAGGGTGAGGACTGGGATGGAAAGATATACTGGGGACATTGGTGGTGGAAAGTGTGCACTGGTGGAAGGATGGGTGTTTGATCATTGTATGGCTGAAGCTCAAAAATGAAAGCTTTGTAAATGTATCTCACGGTGATTCCATAAAAAAAAAAAAAAAGGAAAATTAAAAAAAAAATAAAATCATGGCCAGAGGGGGGAAAAAAAAAACACAAAAGAAAGGAGCCAGAGTTCTCTGGGAAGGAACCTGGAGCCAGAGGCCGGGTTGGCAACATCCAAGCGTTAGTCTGCACCGCCGCTCCTCGGCCGCGCGTCCCCGCCGCCGCGCCTGCGCGCGTCCTTCCGAGGGCCAACCTGGCATCCCGCTCGGGCGCGCGCCTGCGCGGCCATCAGGGCGGCTACGCGCCTGCGCGGGGCCGGGCGCGCGCAAGGCGGGGGCGGGCGGCGGCGGCGGCGGCGCGCGCGGGGGCTGCAGCCGGCAAGTCTGACGCGGCGGCCAAGATGGCGGGCCGGGTGAGTGCGGGCGCCGAGCCGCGGCGCGAGGCGGGGGGCGCGGGGGGCGCGGCGGGCGGCTGGACGGTGCGCGGCCGCTGGAGATCGCCCGCGGCGCGCGCACCTGCGGCCGGGGCCGCTCGGGGCGAGGGGCCAGCGGCAACCCCGCGACCCCTCGGGACTGCCCCTGCCGCGTCCACCGCCGCGCGCTGCGGGGTCCCCACGCCCCGTGGCCCGCGCAGGGGGCGCGGCGGTGGCGGGGACTGCGGGGACCCCGGCGTGGCCGCGGCTGGGGCTGCGGGGGCTCGGCTGTCGCCCTCGCGCCGCGCGGGGGCCTGTCCCAGGGGCGCGGGGACGCGGGGCGCGGGGCGGTCGCGGTGTGCGCGAATGAATGACGGCCCGGCGGGCGCTGCGGGACGTGTCAGCGCGGGGACCCCGGACCTTCCGTCCTCCTCGCGGGCGGCTGCTGGCGGCCCGGCCGGGGCGGGCGGGGGCTGCCCGGTGCGGGGCTGTGCGGCAGAGCCCGCGGTCCCGGGGTCCCGGGGTCAGTTGCCAGCACCGGCTGCCCCGGGCTTGGGTCGGGTGCGGGGTCAGGCTCTGGGAGGGTCCGCCCGGGGCCGGGCCGTGGGTCAGGGGCCGGGCCAGGCGGTCCTGTGCGGGGCTGTGCGGGGTGAGGCCGGTGTTCCGGGGTGCAGGTGCCAGCACCGGCTGCCCCGGGCGTGGGTCGGGCGCGGGAGGAGGCCGTCCCGGGGTCAGGTGCGGGAGGAGGAGGCGGTCCCGGGGTCAGGTGCGGGGCTGTCGTGGGCGTGGGGTGGTCGCAGGGTGGACCTGCTCCGCAGTGGGTCTGCAGCTTAGCCCTCCCCAAAGGCTGGGTCCTGCCCGACGTGGCGCTGGCCCTAAACCCGGAGACAGCCACTGCGGCACGGAGCGGGTGCGGGTGGGGATGGGCTTGACTGATTAATCCGCGGTTTGCCCCGGCTTATGTCCTTGCAAGCCCTGAGTCATAGGATTTGGAGGCAGAAGAGACCTCTCAGGCCATCGCAACATTCGACCTCTCTCGTGCCCTCATCACCTCCTCTGCCATTGAGAGGCGGTGGGGGTAGAGACTGGTCCCCTCCGGCCCTGTGGAAAGATTCTCTCCCCACCGCCTCACGATGGCCCTTCTTGTGGCTCCACCTGCGTCCTCTGAACACACTCATGCTTTTCCCTCTAAAAACCAGCCCTTCCTCCATCCCAGAGCGCTCACCTGCTCTGCCAGCTAGACACCTCTGTGGAGTTCACACCTTTATCGTCTTCCATTTGCTTGCCTCCTGCTTTCCCTGCTCAGCCTGCTGCAGTGGGGTTTCCCAGCACCCCACCGAAGCTGCCCCTCCCGTGAGTGCCATTTCCCGGGTCCCTGTCGCACCCCGCATCTGCCGAGCCTGGCTCCCGAGTTCCGTTCCTGCGTCTCCATTACAGACTCATTTGCCTCTGTCATATTGGGGCTCAGGCACTCTTTATTCATCCTTACGCTTTTTTAAAAAAATTTATTGTTATTATTTTTATTTATTTATTTTGGTAGGGGAAGGCAGTGATTCCCAGGGCCTCCCGGCTCCTCGCAGTGGTCTGACAGCCAGGTACTGGGCCTGAGATGTGGTGTTGCAGTGCTTGCTTCTAGGTCCTTGCTTCACCGGCTGGGTGCCATGCTGGAGGCTTGCGCTCAGACACTTGGGGTCCCTCCCTGGCCCCTTACTCTTTCTTTGTCTGGGTGGCATTGGGGCAATGGGAAACAACTTACAGGGCTTGGCTCATTACTCAGGGGTCACTCCTGGAGGTGCTCCCTGGGGGTTGTGTAGTGCTGGGGGTTGCCTGCTCTCTAGCCCTTTGGTGCTGTCTTCCCCTCCCCCCACACCCTGTTTTCTTCTAACAGGTGATGTTGGTGTGTATGGTAGGAGCACTGTGCCAGGGGTCAAACTCAGGGCTTTTGGTGTGCTGGGCATTTGCCCCATCCCTTGAACTACTGCCCTGGCACTTAGATGATTTTTTTTTTTCAGTGTACATCTACATGTAATTTTTTTTTTTTTTTTTTTTTTTTGCTTTTTGGGTCACACCCAGCTGATGCTCAGGGGTTACTCCTGGCTCTGCACTCAGGAATTACCCCGGCAGTGCTTGGGGGACCATATGGGATTCTGGGAATCAAACCCGGGTCGGCCGCATGCAAGGCAAACGCCCTACCTGCTGTGCTATTGCTCCAGCCCCTCTACCTGTAACTTTTACACATGGCTGTTATTTCTGTTCAGAGCTAAGCAGAAATAAACTCAGTTCCTTTTTCATAAGGTAGCCCTTCAGGTACCTAAAGGCAGATTTCATTTTCCTTTTGCCAGGCAAACATTCCCAGCTCCTCAAACAGCTCCGGTTCCCAACCCTTCATCATTTAGGCTGTCTTCCTGTAGGAAGGCGCTGCTTTGCTAAATAATGCACCCCAGAGTATAACACAGTGTTCGTTGAAAGATATGAGCTGCTATTCTCCTGAGCTGGAGATGATCATTATTGATACAGGGTGAAACTGTATTCTCTGTTCTTCTACAGTCAATCATACCCTTGGCTCATCTGAGTTTATAGTCAATTAAGACTCTGATGTTCTTTTCCGCTCAGCTCCCTTCCAGCGCCGTGCAATAGCTTCCTCAAGCCTAAGTGGTTGATCGAACCAGGGACAGCGAGTGCTTTCCCCACTGTACTTTCTGCCCCTGTAGATTTTAGTTTGTTTTCCTTAGAGGAGCTTAGTACCATCAAATTCACAGCCAGCAGGAAGTGGTTCCCCCTTGGTTACGTAGCTCTCCCTGTCTCTGTGTTACCTCTGCTTGCTTGCTTTTGTCCTCTCTGGAGAAGCCCACAACTTCTCTTGAATGTCGGTGTCCTCTCTTCCTTTCCCCTCACATCTAAGTTAATTTTGTTCAATAAAACTCTCTTGCTTCAGGGCCGGAGTGAGAGTACAGTGGGTAGGGCATTTGCCTTGTAAGTGGCCGATCGGGGTTCAATTCCCAGCATCCCACATGGTCCCCCGAGCATCGCCAGGAATGATTCCTGAATGCAGAGCCAGGAATAACCCCTGAGCATTGCCAAGTGTGACCCAAAAAGCAAAAAAACCCCCCCAAAACCCACCAAAAACTATCGTGCATCACACACACAGTCACACACACACACACGCATACACAGTAGGGTCAGGGAAGTTTTATCTTGTTTCTTATCTCATCTACCGAGTTGCAAGAGGGAAGGGTAGATTTACCTTACCTAAGTCGTTTGTGTTATTTTTTTTATGAATTTTTGTGGTGCTGGGAATTGAACCCAGGGCTTCACATGAGTAAGGTATGTACTCTACTGCTGGGCCACATCCCTAGCCCAAATTATTAAGGACCCAGGTTGTAGGAACCAGGCTAATAATTTGTTATATATGTTGTATCACACATTTTATTTCTTATTTTTTTTGGGGGGGCCACCCCTGGAGATGCTCAGGGGTTACTCCTGGCCCTGTGCCCAGGGATCATTCCTTGGGAACCATATGGGATGCTGGGGATTCAATTCAGATCGGCTGCATGCAAGGCGAGCGCCCTGCTCACTGTACTGTCACTCTGACCCTATGGTACTCTTTTAATGGGTTCTTGTGTGTGTGTGTGTGTGTGTGTGTGTGTGTGTGTGTGACAGAGGGAGGGAGAGAGAGGGAGGGAGGGAGAGGGAGGTAGGATATTTTGAATTATTGCTTTGGGCTATTAATTTTGGCATTCTGACAGCATCTTGTGATGATATATTCACTTTGTAATTGAAGATTTTTTTTGTTGTTAGTTGTCCCATCCCGCAGGACTAGTCAACGTGGGTAACAGGGAGAGGATGCGAGAGTGAAAGAAAGAGACAGCAGGATTAGAGTATAGTGAGCAGAAGCTGAAGCTGCTTTATTGTAAATTCAACAGCACTTACATATATTGAGATTAAACTTTGTCCCTCATAGCTTTGGGACAAAGGGTAGTCATGGGACAGATGGGGGAGATAATAGACTATCAGGGACTCCTCAGAAGGCTACTCGTTAAATCACAGACTGACATCAAGAATATCATGCACTGTTTTTTAGTTCCTGTTGGCCAACCATCCTGTTCATGCTTTTCTTAACCCTGTAAATATTCTATACATATTCTATATATACTCCAGCTGTATATGGTGCTGGAGATCGAACCGGGGTTAGAATCTGCAGGTAGGTATGCTGTCTCTTTTGCTAATCTGCACTGTCCTCCCGTTGTTCATCGATTTGCTCGAGCAGGCACCAGTAACATCTCACAACAAATTGTGAGACTTGTTGTAAACTGTTTTTGGCATATTAAATATTTTTGGCAGTGTCTTGCTAAAGCTATGCACCCAAGAACCCACTCACTACATTTATTATCACTAATTATTCTCATTGATAGCATTAGTAACCTATGAATCTTTTTAAAAATTATTTATTTATTTTATTTTATTTTAAATTAATTTATTTATTGACTCACTGTGGGAAAAGTTACAAAGCTTTCAGGTTTAAGTCTCGGTCATGCACTTATCAAACACATTTCCCTTCACCGATACTTTTTTTTCCACCACCAAGAAACCCAATAAACACCCCCCTCCCAGCCCTCCCAATGCCTGTGAGGCCGATGAATTCTAGTTAACACTCTATCTACTTTGATTAGATTCATTGTTTCGACAAAAGATGCACCATTATTATTTAGAGTTTACACCCCCAAATCAGACATGCTGAAAAGGCATTGTGAAATAATTTGTTTTCTACAGCTGGAGTAACCTGTGAATCTTGTCGTTTATCTTTTCTGTCTAAAAAAGGAGAAAGCATCTTGTTTACTCTTATGGGGAAGAGTAAAATGTGGTATCATTCAGTTAGTAATTGCTAGTCCATCTGAACTTGATTGATTTCTAAAATATCTTCCCTAGTATAGAAATTTATTTACTTATTTATTTTATTTATTTATTTTTTTTGTGACACTGGGCTGTGCTCAGGGCTTATT